CTATGCCTGGCTAATTTTTGTATTTCTAGTAGACAGGGTTTCACCATATTGGCCGGGCTGGTCTTGAACACCTGACCTCAACTGATCTGCCTGCCTCGGCCTCCCAAAGTTCTAGGATTATAGGCATGAGCCAATGTGCCTGGCTTGAGTGAAAGTTTCTCTCTCTCTCTCTCTCTTTCTTTCTTTCTTTCTTTCTTTCTTGATGGAAGCTCTGTAGCCTGGGCTGGAGTGCAGTGGCACTATCTCAGCTCACTGCAACCTCCACCTCCCAGGTCCTGGTTCAAGCAATTCTTCTGCCTCAGCCTCCTGAGTAGCTAGGATTACAGGCACATGCCATTAAGCCCAGCTAATTTTTGTATTTTTAGTAGAGATGGGGTTTCACCATGTCAGCCGGCCTGGACTTGAACTCCTGATCTTGTGATCCACCTGTGTTGACCTCCCAAAGTGCTGGGATTACAGATGTGATCCACTGGGCCCTGCTGAGTGCAAGTTTCTACTTGGCTTTCAGACTGATTCTGCATCTGTGCCCCACTCCTCAGCCTCTAAACACCTGCTTGTTTTCTGTGATAACTAGACACATTAATAGTTATTTACAACAACAGAAAGCCCGGAGAATTGAATGGCACAGTTCAGGGTGCTGCCTTCCAGGGATTCAGTTTAGTGAGAGAAACAGAAATGGCATTCACACACCTAAGTATGCTCCAATGTATAAATTGCAGCCTGGGCAACGTAGTGAGAGCCTGTCTCCAAAAGAAAAGAAAAAAGATGAGGGTGGCATTGTATTCCTGCAGACACCAAAGACCCTCTCTGATTAGTTTTGTGTGACTTGGGGTTGGGGTAGACTGTAGATCCAGAGGAGGAATCTTGGAGCCAAATTTCTACTGTCTGAGTCTTCCCCATCATTCAGATCTCAGTTCAAATATCCCTCCCTCAGAGAAGCCTTCCTTGACACCCATTTTAGAGCAGCACACCCCCATTCTCTAACACACTACACTGTTTTGTAGCCTTCAGGGCACATATCATTCTGGGCTGTTTTACTATTATCTATCATCTATTTATTTATTTATTCATTCATTTTTGAAACAGGGTCTCACTGTGTCGCCCAGGCTGGAGTGAGTGGCACCATCACAGCTCACTGCAGCCTCAAAATCCTGGGCTTAAAGGAGTTTCCTGCCTCCACCTGCAAGTAGCTGGGACCACAGGTGCATGCCACTACGCCTGGCTAATTAAAAAAGTTTTTTTTGTAGAGATGGGTCTCCTAATGTTGCCCAGGCTGATCTTGAACTCCTGATCTCAAGCGATGCTCCTGCCTTGGCCTCCCATCATGCTGGGATTAGAGGCGAGAGCACCTGGCCTGGATTGTTTATTCTACTTGCCAGTTGTCTTGTCTCACCCAGTGGACTGCTCTGTCTTGGTCAGCTCTATAACATATCAATGCTTTATTAGGTCCTCAATGGTTTTTGTTTTGGGGATGACTGGATGAAGGAATGGATGGAGACCCCCCATCCTCGGGATGCCTCTTTTTAGGAACAAAGTGACCTGTTCTTTTGAGCCTGACCAGATGGCAGAGGTAGAACAAGGAAAGCCTAAGACGGGAAGAAAGATTGGAGTGGATTGAGGAGAATAAGGATGAAGAGCTGGATTTGAGCAATTGAGGGTGGCTGCAGAGACTCAGGGAGGTTTCCAAGGGCTAAGGGCCAAGGGCAGAAGACTAGTGGAGCTGCACCAAGCTTGTCCCGCAGGCAGGACTGGGGCTGGAATGGGTGGGCCTGCGGGTGGGGCGGGGCCGACGGTGGGTGGTGGTCCTGTGATGGGGCTCGGCGGGAAGGGGCGGGTCCTACGGAGGGAGGCGGGGTCTGTCTTGGGCCCGGGAGGGAGGCGGGTCCTACGGCGGGAGGCGGGGCCTGAGATGGGGCGGGGCTAGAGACGGGCCTTACGGCGGGCGGGGCGCGGCCGGGGTGCAAGGCGGGTACTGCAGTAGCAGTCAGTGCTGCGTGCTGCAGCGGCGGAAGATGGCTGCGGCCGAAGCGGCGGACACTCAACTGATGCTTGGAGTCGGGCTGATCGGTGAGGACGTAGACGCCCTGCCTGAAAAACTCACCCGGGTTCCGTCTCTGCACCACCTTGGCCCGGAGCAGCCCCTGCTCCCGCGGTCCCAAGAGGACCAACATGGAGGGCGCGGCCGGTTCCATGTTGGGCCTGGACTGGGGGCTGCGGGGCCCGGCCTCCTTGGCTCAGGGACCCGGCCCGCCGCCCTCGCCCGCCCGCGGCCGCCTGGGAGGCCAGCTCGGCTCCAGGGAGCCCGGGACCTCCCAGATCGCGGGGTGGAGCTTCCCCTGCACGCCCGGGTTTGCTAGGCTGAGCCGGGACGTCTTGCGCGCCCAGACAGGGGTGGTTGCAAGGGGAGATGTGCGGGCTGGGCCGGGCCGGGCGGGAGCTGCCGGCGAGCGGCGCGGCGCGGCGGGCAGGAGGCAGGGCCTGGTTCCCCAGAGCCGGGCGCGGGCGGTTGTCTCGGAGCCAACCGTGACTGCTCACCCGGGCGTCCCCCTTCGTGGGACCGGGCGGCTGGAGACTGCTGGGCCGGGTGCTGCGCGTTGTACACACATTGTCTCCTTTTAGCTCTCACCAAGGACCCAGGGGCCGTGGGAAACGACTGACGCCCGCTTTACGGAGGAGCAAATGGAGGCCCGGGCTGTCATTGGTCACGGACACACCATAGGCAGTACAGAGGAGGGGCGGGGAGGGGGGAGGCAGGGGGAAGTTCGAAGTGTAGCCCGGATCCCCCAGTCCCCACCAGGGTAGAGCTCCCGCATCATGTGATCGAGCTTGTGCATAAAGCAGGAGTCTCTACATAATCGTGCGTCGGAATCTCCATTAGCTCTGAGGAATGTAATTATCTCTCCATAGTTAAAAAATTTCACGTTGGGATTTTTGGGCAGCCTTGTGCAGTGTTTAGGGGGTGGAACCCATTCGTTCCCTTCAAAAAAGTTTTATTTCCCTGAGATTTTTGCATACCCATAAACACTTTCTATTCTCCAAGTGCACAATAACATTGCTGAGGCTTAGCAAAACTGAAGAAAGAGCTGATTATTTTTCAGTGCCTTAAGGCAGTACGTTTTTGTGGGAATGTTTTACCGTATTCATTTCTTTTTCAATTTTTTAGACAAGGTCTCGCTCTATCCAGGCTGGAGTGCAGCAGCACAATCACAGCCGCCATCTCCTAGGCTCAAACTATCCTCCTGTCTTGGCCTCCAAGTAGCTGGGACCAAAGGCGTGCACCACCACCCGGATAATTTTTGTATTTTTTTGTGTAGATGGGATACCAACGTGTTGTCCAGGCGGATTATGTGTTTATTTCTAATGTGATTTTCAAACTGCTTCAAAGCAATACCTAAGTAATTTAGTGTCTCCAGAAGGTACTTTTGTATTAAGGCTAAGGTAAACTGTCTTTATCTACTACTAATAGCAAAGAAAAAGATGACATATGATCATATTCTGAACTCAGAAGGTTTTTTATTATTCACATTAACATGCATTTCAAAGGAGTTTGCAGCCAGCCTGGGCAACGTACTGCAAACCACTATATCTCTGCAAAATATAAAAATTAGCTGGGTTTGGTGGCATAGGTGGGAGGATTGCTTGATTTCAGAGGGGCAGAGGTTGCAGTGAACCAAGATCATGCCACTGTAGTCTAGTCTGGGTGACAGAGTGAGACCCCCCCATCTCAAAAAAAAGAAAAGAGGCCAGGTGTGGTGGCTCACACCTGTAATCTCAGTACTTTAGGAGTTTGAGATCTGCCTGACCAATAGAGTGAAACCGTGTCTCCACCAAAAAAGGCAAAAAACTAGCTGGGTGTGGTGGTGCACGCCTGTAATCTCAGCTACTCCAGAGGCTGAGGCAGGAGAATCACTTAAACCCGGGAGGTGGAAGTTGCAGTGAGCACTGCAGCCTGGGTGACAGAGTAAGACCTTTTCTCTAAAGAAAAAAAAAAGGATCGTGGGTGTCTTTTTTAATGTAATGATTTCTTTTCCTTTTAGAAGATACCCAGTAGTGGGATTACTAGGTGGAATGGTAGTTCTGTTTTCTTTTTTTTTTTTTTTTTGAGACGGAGTTTTGCTCTTGTTACCCAGGCTGGAGTGCAATGGCGCGATCTCGGCTCACCGCAACCTCCGCCTCCTGAGTTCAGGCAACTCTCCTGCCTCAGCCTCCTGAGTAGCTGGGATTACAGGCACGCACCACTATGCCCAGATAATGTTTTGTATTTTTAATAGAGACGGGGTTTCACCATGTTGACCAGGATGGTCTCGATCTCTTGACCTCGTGATCTACCCGCCTCGGCCTCCCAAAGTGCTGGGATTACAGGCTTGAGCCACCGCACACGGCAACAATTTTTATTTATAGTTTTTAGAGATAGTTTTTAGAGTTTTAGTCTCTGTTGCCTAGGCTGGGGTGCAGTGGTGTGTAGCTCACGACTACCTTTAAATACTGGGCTCAAGTGATCCTTCCACCTTAGCTTCCTAAGTAGCTGGGACCACAGCACATACCACCATGCCCAGCTAATTTTTAATTTTTTTTTTTTTTTTTTTTTTTTTTTAAAGATGCAGTCTCACTATGTTGCCCAGGTTGGTCTGGAACTTTTGGCCTCAGGCGATCCTCTTGTCTTCCCAAAGTGTTAGGGTTTACAGGCATGAGCCATTATGCTTGGCCTAAAAAATTTTAAATATGAAATTCATGCAATTGGTATGCAACATGGTTTGAAAGATTTCACCATTTTTTTCATCTCTAGTTTTGTTTTTGACGAACCTTTTCTATGTATTTATTTATTTATTTATTTCTCTAAACCGTTTATTTCTCCCTACCAGAAGGTGGAGGGGGGCGGGCCTAGAATACAGGGTGAGGAGGATTCCTGGGTCGGGCCACTGCAGACAGCTGGGAGAGGCTGGGCGCGGCTCTCAGGCGAAGGTGGAGTTGTTCCAGCCCACGTTTGCCTCCTTCATGTCCTAATAATTGATGTCGACCCTGTCCGGGCTGATGCGCAGGCGCTCGGCCAGCAGGCCACACAGCGACTTGCTGTAGGAGAGGTTCTGCGCGCCGCCAGTCTTGCCGATGCTGTGCAGGCTGCAGAGCGCGCAGGCCTTGCTGGAGCCCCCGAAGGTCATGAGCTGGTCCGGGACCATGTGCACCGCGATGTACTGGGGCGGCTTGCCGGTGGCCTGCGCCAGCTGTTGGGTGAGCTCGGAGAGGAACCCGTCCGGCACAGAGGCCCGGGGCACGTTGGTGTTCACAATGAACATCGACATGATGGCAGAGGGACCAGGAGATCCGCGCAGAGACATCTATGTATTTATTAAGAATTATTCCACCCAGCACTTTGGGAGGCTGAGGCAGGGCGGATCACTTGAGGTCAGGAATTTTAAGACCAGCCTGGCCAACATGGTGAAACCCCATCTCCACTAAAAATACAAAAATTAGGCCGGGCGCAGTGGCTCAAGCCTGTAATCCCAGCACTTTGGTAGGCCAAGGTGGGTGGATCACGAGGTCAAGAGATCGAGACCATCCTGATCAACATGGTGAAACACCGTCTCTACTAAAAATCCAAAAAATTAGCTGGGTATGGTGGTGTGTGCCTGTAATATCAGCTACTCAGGAGGCTGAGGCAGGAGAATTGCCTGAATCCAGGAGGCAGAGGTTGCGGTGAGCCGAGATCGCGCCATTGCACTCCAGCCTGGGTAACAAGAGCAAAACTGTCTCAAAAAAATAAAAAATAAAAAAAAACACACAAAAATTAGCCGGACATGGTGGTGGGTGCCTGTAATCCCAGCTACTCAGGAGGCCGAGGCAGGGGAATCGCTTGAGCCTGGGAGGTGGAGCATGTAGTGAGCCAAAATTGTGCCAGTGCGCTCCAGCCTGGGTGACAGAACAAGATTCCACCTCAAAAAGAAAAAAAAAAAAAAAAAAGAATTATTCCAAATAGATAAAAACTTAATGTAACTTTAGTTTATAGGCATTTGTGTGGGAGGAGATAGGGAGGAACTCTGCCCTATCTCTGAGGCTGAATTTTCATTCATGGTTTGTTATAAAAGCTTTTTACGCTGGGTGTGGTGGCTCACGCCTGTAATTCTAGCACTTTGAGAGGCTGAGGCGTGTGAATAATGAGGTCAGGAGTTGGAGACCAGCCTGGCCAACAGAGAGACACCCGTCTCTACTGAAAAAAAAATACGAAAAATAGCTGGGTGTGGTGACGTGTCTGTAATCACAGCTCCTCGGGAGGCTGAGACAGGAGAATCACTTGAACCTGGGAGGCAGAGGTTGTGACGAGCCAAGATGGCGCCACTGCACTCCAGCCTGGACGACAGAGTGAGACTCCGTCTCAAGAAAAATAAAGTTTTTTACTCAGGTGGCCTATAATTCTGGATCATGAGAGCCAGATAATTTGAGCAGTAGTGATAGGTGGGAATTTGGGGTCTCAAGTACTCTGAGTTGCTTTGTAAAATGGGGTGTTAAAACTGATTCCGCTAAGTGCTTCTGAGTAACCAATCAATTCACTTCCTTGCTACTGTTTGACATTCTCACAGTGACCATCTTTCCACCGTAGAAAAGGACACAAATGGAGAAGTTCTGTGGGTGTGGTGTTATCCTTCCACGACAGCCACATTAAGGAGCCTGCTGCTGAGGAAATGCTGCCTTACAGATGAAAACAAACTTCTCCATCCCTTTGTCTTTGGTCAGTACAGAAGAACATGGTTTTATATCACAACAATTGAAGTTCCAGATTCTTCTGTTTTGAAAAAGGTATGATTGCATGAAGGTTAAAAAACCCCAAAATATTTAAAGTGATGTAAGATTATTCTAATAACCCTTAGCTTTAGACCTTATTCACAGTATACTTTTGAAAATATTAAATACTATTTTCATTGGGAGTATTCACACTTTACTCTCATTCATTCTATAAATATTTATTGTCGTCTAGTATATGACAGACCCTGTGGTTGATATAGTGGTGAGCAGTGCAATATGTGGTCTCTTCCCTTTTTTTTTTTTTTGATTTTTGAGATAGAGTTTTGCTCTGTTGCTCAGGTTTGAGTGCAATGGCGCAATCTTGGCTCACTGCAACTTTGGCCTCCCAGGTTCAAGTGATTCTCCTGCCTCAGCCTCCTGAGTAGCTGGGGTAACAGGTGCCTGCTGCCATGCCTTGCTATTTTTTTAAAATTTTTTTTTTTTTTTTTTTTTTTTTGAGACGGAGTTTTGCTCTTGTTGCCCAGGCTGGAGTGCAATGGCGCGATCTCGGCTCACCGCAACCTCCGCCTCCTGGGTTCAGGCAATTCTCCTGCCTCAGCCTCCTGAGTAGCTGGGATTACAGGCACGCGCCACCATGCCCAGCTAATTTTTTGTATTTTTAGTAGAGACAGGGTTTCACCATGTTGGCCAGACTGGTCTTGAACTCTTGACCTCAGGTGATGTGCCCAGCCAGGATCTATTGAGAATTTAGAAAGATTAAGGAAATTCATGTATTAAGTAGACTTCTTGGTGTGTTGTTTGATATGAACAGTATCAGTGTGACATGTGGAAGACTAGGATGTGGTAATCGTGGCCTTTCCTAATCCCAAGCAACCAGCAGTTTTTTTCAAAGAATAGAATATTTGAACAAAGTGGCATGTACCCAGATAGACATTTTTTCCCATTTTAGGGCTAATTTATAGCCACTAATGGGACTGTGTGAAGCCTGACTAGAATACCAGCTTAAATTTAAGAAATTACATTTAAAAGAGCAGGAAGGTAACAATTTAGAAACTGTAGAAGGCTTAAGACAAAACAGATTCATAGTTACAAAATATAAATTTGCAATAAAATAGGATTCTTTTTTATTTTAACTTCAATTTTTTTTTTTTTCCGAGACGGAGTTTCGCTCTTGTTACCCAGGCTGGAGTGCAATGGCGCGATCTCGGCTCACCGCAACCTCTGCCTCCTGGGCTCAGGCAATTCTCCTGCCTCAGCCTCCTGAGTAGCTGGGATTACAGGCACGCACCATCATGCCCAGCTAATTTTTTGTATTTTTAGTAGAGACGGGGTTTCACCATGTTGAACAGGATGGTCTCGATCTCTCGACCTTGTGATCCACCCGCCTCGGCCTCCCAAAGTGCTGGGATTACAGGCTTGAGCCACCGCGCCCGGCTTTTTTTTTTTTTTTTGAGACGGAGTTTCTCTCTTGTTACCCAGGCTGGAGTGCAATGGCACGATCTCGGCTCACCACAACCTCTGCCTCCTGGGTTCAGGCAACTCTCCTGCCTCAGCCTCCTGAGTAGCTGGGATTACAGGCACGTGCCACCATGCCCAGCTAATTTTTTGTATTTTTAGTAGAGACGGGGTTTCACCATGTTGACCAGGTTGGTCTGGATCTCTTGACCTCGTGATCCACTTGCCTCGGCCTCCCAGAGTGCTCGGATTACAGGCTTGAGCCACTGCGCCCGGCTTAACTTCCATTTTTAATTTTTTTTTTTTTTTTTTTGATTCAGAGTCTCACTTTGTCACTCAGGCTGGAGTGCAGTGGTGCAATCATGTCTCACTGCAGCCTTAATCTCCTGGACCCAAGTGGTCCTCCCACTTCAGCTCCCTGAGTAACTGGGAGCACAGGCGTGTACCACTGTCCCCTGCTAGTTTTTAAATTTTTCGTAGAGGCAAGGTCTTACTCTGTGGCCCTGGCTGGTCTTGAACTCCTGGGTTCAAGCGATCCTCCTGTCTTTGCCTCCTAAAGTGCTGGCAGTACTAAAGGTACTCAGCCTAAAGGCATGAGCCACTGCACCTGGCCAAGGATAGCTTTCAATATGTAAGGAAATCTTTGGTTTGTTGCTTGATAAGTTTTGTTTTTTTTGATGGAGTTTTGCTCTTGTCGCCCAGGCTGGCGTGCAGGGGCAAGATCTCGGCTCACTGCAACCTTCGCCCCTGAGGTTCGAGTGATTCTTGTGCCTCAGCCTTCCAAGTAGCTGGGACTACAGGCATGTGCCACCATTCCTGGCTACTCTTTATTTTAAATGTATCTCTTCAAAATTTTGTATTTATAAAATTCTGAATTTTGTCTCATTGGTGGAAATATTAGATATATGATTATCAGAAACTTATAATAATAGAAGCATATAAGTAAATGAAGCTTCTTTTCCCCTCCCCTCCGCCCAGACAGAGTCTCGCTCTTTTGCCCAGGCTTGAGTGCAGAGTTGCAATCTCAGCTCACTGCAACCTCTGCCTCCTGGGTTCAAGCGATTCTCTGCCTCAGCCTCCTGAGTAGCTGGGATTACAGGTATGTGTCACCACGCCTGGCTAATTTTTGTATTTTTAGTAGAGACAGGGTTTCACCATCTTGGCTAGGCTGGTCTTGAACTCCTGACCTCATGATTCACCTGCCTCAGCCTCCCAAAGTGCTGGGATTACAGGCATGACCTGCCTGTCTGAAGCTTCTTATAATAGTACTTTTTAGCTTACCACACTCTTTAGAGAATTAGTTCAGGAGCTGTATGATTGTTACTGAGATATGTTTTGTTATTTTCCATCCTTAGATAATGAAGACCAGTTGCTAGCGATAGGTGACTATGGTTAAGAATAATCAACTGGCCGGGCGCGGTGGCTCATGCCTGTAATCTAGCACTTTGGGAGGCCAAGGTGGGTGGATCACCTGAGTTCAGGAGTTCAAGACCAGCCTGGCCATCATGGTGAAACCCCATCTTAAAAAAAAAGGAAAGAAAAGAAAAGATAAATATGCTGGGTGTGGTGGCTCATGCCTGTAATCTCAGCACTTTGGGATGCTGAGGTGGGTGGATTATTTGAGGCCGGGGGTTTGAGACTAGCCTGGCCAACAGAGTGAAACACTGTCTCTACTGAAAATACAAAAAATTAGCTGGCCATGGTGGGGCGTCTGTAATCCCAGCTACTTGGGAGCTTGGGAGGCTGAGGCATGAGAATCACTTGAACCTGGGAGGCAGAGGTTACAGTGACCTGAGCTCACACCACTGTACTCTGGCCTGGGTGACAGAGCAAGACTGTCTCCAAAAAAAAAAAAAAAAAGAAAAAAGAAAAGAAAAAGAAGAGATATACCAGAAAAATATGTATATCTATTATGTATTAATAAAAATAAGTAAAATAAGGGTGTGATGGTGCGTGCCTGTAGTTTCAGCTACTTGAGAGGCTGAGGCAGGGGGATCTCTTGAGTCCAGGAGTTTAAGTCCAGCTTAGGCCACGTAGTGAAACCCTCAACTCAAAAAAAAAAAAGAAAAAAAAGGTAAATTAGTGAAAAAGTATGGGTGAGAAAAGATAAGCAATTGCTAAATTGGTAAGTCTGCACTTACCAATTTAGAAATTAGAAAGAAGTAAGCACTTCTTTATTCTACTTTGATGAGATTACGGGACCTTAAGTAGAAATGTACATTTATATTTGAGTGAAGTATTTTTGATTTCTGAAAAAATTTTTTCTGTAAGTATTGCATGCTTATGTAGGAAATTAAATATATATGTATATGTAATATATGTGCACATGCAAAAGTTTAAAGAAGCAAGTGAGGACTTGTTACATTTTGATCTTTTCCTTTTAATACTGTTATGTCTTGTACAAAAGGTTTGTTAGAATATAGTAATAAAAATTAATTCTGCTGAAGTTTCTTTAAAAAGGATTTTTTGTTGTTGTTTCTTTTGAACAGGTGACTCATTTTTCTATTGTTCTGACTGCCAAAGATTTTAACCCAGAGAAGTATGCTGCCTTCACTAGGATATTGTGTAGGTCTGTATAAAAATTGTATTAAATGCTAATAAACAAAATGAAGATCTTACCGTAGTTACATAGCAGATTTCTACACTGAGAAAGCCAAATTCAGCCTTGTGTCTCCAACACAATCCTTAGTAGCCCTTCACAGGCTGTAAAGAGGGCCTTTCTGTTTTGCTTTTTTGATATTTCTCGTCTTATTTGGGTAATGATCTAGGGGAAGAGAAGCAGCAGTTTCTGTAGCTATTGTAGTTCCTGGGTGTTTTGAGTCACTTCCTACTTTTGGTGTGTTACTTCTGTTCACTTCCAGTCTAGAATTTCCTTAGTAGGTTGGATAAGTTAAGTGACTTATGACTCAGTAAACTGGTTCACATGTGTCAAGGTCTGTGTGTGGCAATCATGTTGGGGAAATAATTATGCTGAAGCACAAGAACACATTTCTTAGCTGGAATGGTGAGAAGCTAGGGAATTCTCTTTTTTTTTTTTTTTTTTGAGACGGAGTTTCGCTCTTGTTACCCAGGCTGGAGTGCAATGGCGCGATCTTGGCACACCGCAACCTCCGCCACCTGGGTTCAGGCAATTCTCCTGCCTCAGCCTCCTGAGTAGCTGGGATTACAGGCACGCGCCACCATGCCCAGCTAATTTTTTGTATTTTTAGTAGAGACGGGGTTTCACCATGTTGACCAGGATGGTCTCGATCTCTTGACCTTGTGATCCGCCCTTCTGGGCCTCCCAAAGTGCTGGGATTACAGGCTTGAGCCACCGCGCCCGGCGGGAATTCTCGTTAATTGGTTAGTCATGATTCCGGTAGACTCTTTTAGTTTCATCCCTGTTGTTGAAAAATTTATCTAAAATATACCAGAATGTTTTTTCTTTTCTTTTCTTTTTTTTTTTTTTGAGACGGAGTTTCGCTCTTGTTACCCAGGCTGGAGTGCAATGGCGCGATCTCGGCTCACCGCAACCTCCGCCTCCTGGGTTCAGGCAATTCTCCTGCCGCAGCCTCCTGAGTAGCTGGGATTACAGGCACGCGCCACCATGCCCAGCTGATTTTTTGTATTTTTAGTAGAGACGGGGTTTCGCTATGTTGACCAGGATGGTCTCGATCTCTCGATCTCGTGATCCACCCGCCTCGGCCTCCCAAAGTGCTGGGATTACAGGCTTGAGCCACCGTGCCCGGCTCTTTTCTTTTTTTTTTGAGACAGGGTCTCACTCTGTTCCTCAGGCTGGAGTGCAGTGGCTTCATCATGGCAAACTGCAGTCTCGACCTCCCAGGACTCAGGTGATCCTCCCAGCTCAGCCTCCCATGTAGCAAGGACTGCAGGCACGCACCCCCATGCCTAGCTAATTTTTTGTATTTTTGTATTTTTTGTAGTGACAGGGTTTCATTATGTGCCCAGGCTGTTCTCAAACTTCTGAGCTCAAGCAATCTGCCCATGTTGGCCTCCCAAAGTGCTGGGATTATAGGCGTGATGAAACTCTTCTTTATATGTTAAAGATATTAGCTCTACCTTTTTTCTTTTCTTTTTTTTTTTTGAGACGGAGTTTCGCTCTTGTTACCAGGCTGGAGTGCAATGGCGCGATCTCGGCTCACCGCAACCTCCGCCTCCTGGGTTCAGGCAATTCTCCTGCCTCAGCCTCCTGAGTAGCTGGGATTACAGGCACGCGCCACCATGCCCAGCTAGTTTTTTGTATTTTTAGTAGAGATGGGGTTTCACCATGTTGACCAGGATGGTCTCGATCTCTCAACCTCGTGATCTACCCGCCTCGGCCTCCCAAAGTGCTGGGATTACAGGCTTGAGCCACCGCGCCCAGCCTCTTTTCTTTTATTTTACATTTTCTTTTTTTTCTTCTAGAGACATCCTGCTCAGGAAAGCTCTTTCTTAATGATGAAGGCTTTGGCAGGGTTTTAGTGGGGCGATCTCTGCTCACTGCAACCACCGCCTCCCAGGTTCAAGCAATTCTCCTGCCTCACCCTCCCAAGTAGCTGAGATTACAGGCTTGTGCTACCACCCCTGGCTAATTTTTGTATTTTTTTTTTTTTTTTTTTTTGAGACAGAGTTTCGCTCTTGTTTCTAAGGCTGGAGTGCAATGGCGCAATCTCGGCTCACCGCAACCTCCGCCTCCGGGGTTCAGGCAATTCTCCTGCCTTAGCCTCCTGAGTAGCTGGGATTACAGGCACGCGCCACCACGCCCAGCTAATTTTTTGTATTTTTAGTAGAGATGGGGTTTCACCATGTTGACCAGGATGGTCTCGATCTCTTGACCTCGTGATCCACCC